TCAAATACGATCGATCTGTGTCATCCTGTGTCAGTTTTAAAATAGTTACATCTTGCAATTACCCCGTTCAGCTGTACAACTCACTCCAGGGTATCCTCACTTACAAGATCCCAAGTTGCAACGTTCAAGTCACTTGCATCGTTCAATTTTAACAACAGCACATCCCCCAGTGGTGCTCAAAACGTCAATTTGTCAAGGTAAAGTCATACCCCAGTGTTTCACTTAGCTACAGCACTAACTAAGAATTGAATCAGTTATTTCTCTATGTAGATGAGTTAATATATAATCTTCTCTAAAAATCCCTTCTAAAAGAAAAATTTCAATAAATTTCTATTAATCGTTTAGATGCACGAATTTATTTAGTATATTTATCATAAGATCACATTTTATATGTCTAAAGAGAGTAATATAAAATGCCGTTTTAGAGCACGTGATAGAAAAGAATGCAATATGATTTCAGGAATATCGCTGTTGGACCTGATAAACTTTCGCATAATGCCTTATTATCCTTTCTTCGCACTTAACATTCCTGTTATATATATATGTTTGTTTTTTTATTTAATTTAATATTTAAGTTTCCCAGTTATTTCATTTGTTTATATTTTTATACAGTACAGGAAATGTTAATTTGTATATATTTTCCCCCTATATGCATTAAGTAATCTATGTTACTTTTCATACATGTGTTTGTGAGGGTGGTACATTTATTCATTCAAAACTAAAATTAACCAGAAATAACTAAAAAAATTTAGAAACAGCATGAAAAAATATATTTGAAATACAGGCTACAATTTTGCATTACATCTTTACTTCTGCAAAATACAGATAAAACGAGACAATAAGAAAATTTTTTAAATATGGGCTATATTTCTTTATGCGATAGAAATTATATATACATCACGTGAAAATAGAGTAGTTTTAGATGTATACGAAAAATGCATTGATTTCTTTAGATTAACATCTTTACATCTTCTATATTTTTATTTATTCTGCTTCTCATTTGCATGATTCTGTTTCTGTTTTTCACAATATCATCATAAATGTTCCTGGAATATATATCTCCTTCAACTGGCAATCTGCTAAACTTCCTAAGTCTACAATAACTACGATAGGTAATGAAAAAATGCACTTGTTACAGACTTGTTGCAAAAAGCTTGAATGCGATTATTATGATTATTACATTTTTCTTATCTCAGAGACTAATATCTTAATATCTTTATATATATATATATATATATATATATATATAATCGTTTATCAATTAAATCTTATCTATTTATAATAACGAGTTATATTTCTTTCGCTGGTGTAGATATGGTTCACTTTTATCTGTCTCTGATTTTACAAACAAAGGCGTCGCCTTTAATCGTAAATATTTTCAATTTATAGGAACAACTCCATGCGTTCGCATATTTTGTCAACGGCCTCTTTGCAAAAGGCATTGGGAAGCCCAAGTCCAGGAACGTATAAAAAGAAGGATACAAAACGTAGAAGTTCGCGAAAGAGCGATTCCGCCACGGTGACGAAAAACGATCAACCGACCAGCCAGTGGTACACCACAGCCGAGATATCTCACAGTTCAGTATCGTCCATTACGTCATTAATATCTAATTTACATTCGACACCTGTATTCGAACTACGACAAGAGGTACGGACAAGTTTAGATGGGTATTTAACAATCGTCATCTTTTTTGCTCTTTGTAATATTAAAATGGAAAAATACGTGCCTGTTTATACACAGCTCACACCAAAACGTCCTCTGAGATCGGAAGTGGACAAAGAACGTAGAATAAGTAATCGCTGGTCCGGTCAGTCCCAGCACTATCTAAGGAACATCAATAACGAATTGGAACCAAGCGGTTTAGGAAAGGGCAATAGAGATAGCGTCGGCACGACCGACAGTACAGCATCCGAAGATGATCCACCTCCGCCTCTGCCTATTAAAATGCGCGAGGCCGATTATTGTAATCTCCCGGAGGAGTTGTCCTCCAATCAGTGTCCAGCTAGCCCTGCCCCAGGTACTTTGAATAATCTGAATAAATCTTCAGGACAGTGGAAGAACAAGCTGCCGACACCTACCGATGATGACAGTCCAGACTGCCATTCTAATAAACCGCCGACGCCTCCACCAAAACCGAAAAGACCGATTCATAGTTTGCATAAGATCGTTCTGGCCTCCAACGATGTCGAAACCTCGCATGAGGATTCGTCGACCGCGTAACGTAACGTAAAATCTTGCAGGCGTCTTATTGATCTTGCCAAGAGTTATGACCGTAACAAGTATCCATCCACATCCACGTATATAATACGCGCGCTTTCTTGTTATTCGCGATCATTTTCGCATTAATTTCTGTACCGTCGATCTTTAGAAGAGTTACCATTCTCTTAAAGTTAGCGTTCTAATATATTTCTTTGTGCCTTTTTTTCGCAATTTAGGATAAGTGAGTTTAGTATACGCTTCATTACAATACGAAATAACTTTAACAGTAGAACAGATGTTGCTCTATTCGTATTGATAGTGAGCAATTATTGATAAAAAAATTGAAAAATTAGTATGAATTTACGAAAGATAACATTTTATAATTTTGCAGTGCATATATATGACAAAAACTATAATGACAAGTCGTAAATTATTATAATATATCAATGTATTTACTTTATTTTTATTGTAGTATGCAGTATAAAGCTTTGCGATTTATTCAAGAAATTCAATGTTTTTGTAACATTAGTAATGAAAGAAAAGTTTTACTTATAAGGCTAAAACTTACAAAAGTTGCTTTTAATAATTATTTACTTTATATGAGCATATTTTTTCGAACATTTAAATATTGTTTGATTACATTTCACATGCTTTATAATATCTATTAGAAGGCTTAATGTGCTAGTGTAATGTCCACTTTTTCAATCTAAAACTTTATTATCATGTGGCTTTGGACATATTTATGACAAATATATATTTTTATAGATTTTTATATAAAACATATACACATATATAGCTTTAATTGTAGTGAAAACTTTGGGAACCTTTTATATTTTATACTAAGGCAATTTTTGAATGAATTTATGCTAATACTATAATATGGAACATTAATATTCGATATAACGAAAGCGGTTAATTTTTTGCATATCTATATATTTGATACACTATTTAAACTTATTTCACGATTTTTATAAAATAATTATGAGTAGTTATAGTTTATATAACCGCAACATAGTTATTATTTAAATACCAAGCCATTGTGATCTAGTGGTAAAAAAAATTTATATGAGTTACTGTATTTATATAAGTCATTCATACATATACTTGTTAACAACGAGACTATAGTCTTATGTGTTAACTTATTTTTAATATATACAAAAAGACATTGGTTTATACAAAATATATTCAATAAGAATAAGTATGCAGCAAATAATACTGCATATGATATTGCATGTTTGTTTCATAATCCAAATAAATTATTTACTTATAATATTGATATATGATCATAGGGTATAATTAGTGCTATATTGTGACAAACTGCTTCCTAATTTGAGCATAAAATCAGAATAAAAATTTAAATGGATTATGAAGATTATAATCTTATATAAAGAGACACTTTATAATCATGTTGATTTGCATTGTCTTTTAATTATAGCAAATTCTACAAACATTAGAAGAAGCCATATAACTACAATACAAAAGCTACTTATTGTGTTTTTCATCGTCACTTGAGTCTCATACCAAAGAGATTAGTGCTTTATTTATTAAGAGCTTTAGAAAATCATATGTGATGCTGAAGAAACAAATATGATGTAATATATATTGAATATATTAATACTTGCATCTAATGAACGATAAACAAAATAAATTAAAATATAAGTGAATTCTTGATATATCATTCATTACTTATGATAATTAATATAGCAAAGATCTGTATTCAGTTCAAAATTATTCTTATATTATTCTTTATTTGTTTAGTAAAATTCCAAAAATACATAAATACATACACATATTTATGTATATTTGATTAGAACAGAGTATGAATACAGTTCTTAGCTTTGCAACTAATTTTGTTATGTAATAGAAAAAATTGACAATATTATTGAGCTTAAAGAAATTAAGAAATTTAATGTAGTGCCATTTGTTTTTCGTTATATATATATATATATATATATAACTATTTTTTATGTTTAGGTACTAATGTATACCATCTTGTTATTTAATTTAAAACAATTTTGTTTTTTTTTTACTTTTGCATATAATATATTAATTTTCACACACATACAAAATAATATTTATTTAATATATGCTACATCCACATATCGACAAAATCTTAATTATAAATGAGTGCCATTAACATTATTATTGAACTCATACACTATATGATACATTTCTTGCATATGAGCTAAATGTATATACATACTCTATAATCTATAATAAATCAATTTTATTTATAAAAGATGAAGTAATCTTACATAATTATATGAATCTTTACTTTTTAATATAAGTGACATAATTACATTTTTATATATTACATATTGACTAATAATTTACTACAAAAATATATTTTATATAGACCGTTTCTTTAAAAAAAATTACGACACATTATAAATAGCAGAAGAGAGGTGGAAGTGAGAGATAAAGCAATCTATAAATTTAATTTAAAAAAAAACAATGGATTTATGTTTTATAATTACAATATATATTATATATGATATAAATGAGTTCACAAAAAGTAATTTAATTTTCTGCAATTTACTCTTTCTATGTATATCTTTCTATATATAATTGTTTGTTACTGACATTTATTACAATTGATAGTAATTTTTTATTTTAATTTTTTTGAAAAATTTCCCTTTAAAATATGCTTAATAATTTATTTCTGCAATTAAATTTCTCTCTGAGCCAACGCCGATTTAGAAAAGAACAATTATTAAAATCGATATAAAACTTGTCAATTATAAATATATTCATTTTCCTAGTTAGCAGGAATTAGGCCAAATTAATGAAATACAGTACGTAGATATATAGAAGTATCATCTTCATTAATTTAATAGGAGTGTAATAAGTTAATTACAGTAATGCCATCGATAGCAAAATAGCACTTATTGTAAACTTGCTATTTAACATTGGTTGGAAGTGAGAAAATAAATTTCTTGATACTTATATATCTATTTTTTCTCTTTTCCTTGTTCTTAAGAGATGGTCTTTTGAATTGAAGATTTACAGATACGATATATTAGTATTTAAATTTATATTAATTCATAACTATATTATATGTACTGTTATATTGACATGCATTGCAATATAGAGCACTAAAGTTGACATTCTATATTATTTATATGTAAAATATAAAAGTAGAAAATATATATTCAAGATGTTATTCGTGATTTTAATAGAAAAATAACATAATGCATAGTGTTTCTAAAGAATAATTAATATCTGAAGTGTTGTAATTGCGCTATATTCTGCTGTCTTTATCAGAAAAATAAATAAATATTTATTTTTTTGTGTTAAAAATATTTTACAGCAGAAAACTATGATATTTTCCTTTACTATTCTTGTACTATAGAAAATTAATGCATTGTTTTTAATTGTCCAGTAATTTCGAGGTACGTATGAATTAATTAGAAAAGTTTTTGATGCTATACATACATTCATACATGCAGAACATCACACACTTTAACATAATTACACATTTATAACATATATAAATAATTCGTAATGCCTTTGCAATCATTGAACCTTATTAACAATAAAAATTAGCAAATATCACATTTGCACTTCTTTAAATGAGCCTTCTTCAAATCTGTCAACGAATTTAAGCCTAACATATCGCATACCCGTCTAAAAATTAAATTAAAGTTACATTTATATAATTATAAATGTACATATATAATATTACGTTACCTCACGCAAGTTAGAATTACCAATCTGTTCGCATTTAGAAATTTGGCAAAAAAAAAGTACAAACTCATATCTGCGAAAAGTTCTACATCTAAAACTTTATGATGTAGATCTTTGATACAGATTAATGGAACATTTCTTCGATGATTATGATGAATGCAAAAAACAATGTGTAACAGACGAACCAATTGAATGAAATGATTTTGTTTTAATAAACAAATATCACACAATATGCGAATTATGAAATGTGACTAGAAACAATGAATTTATTTATTCAACTTTTAATCGTTTACTGAATTCCTCTTGCTGCTTTTCCCTCCATTCCTTCTTTGGCTTCATCCTCTTCAATTGACCATCCCTATCATTCATAAAAGAAATATGCGTATAATTATTTGACGAATATATATAAATAATATTTTCATTTCTTATAAATTAATATCAAATATACCATTGCAGATCGACGAGACCACCTTGCCGCGCTACCACAGATTTTACCCGGTTCGCAAAATCGATGGCACTCTCTCCTTCCTTTCTATACATTGGAGGGAGATACCACACATCGCAGACTATCGCCCAGCTTGACATCATCATGTATAAATATTGTATCATCGAATATCGACTGCTGTTCCAAAATGCATCGCCGAATCTTGGATCATACTATATATTTAAAAAATAAAAAATTCAAATTAAAAAAAACATCATGGACATATATTTGAAACATTGTGCGTTTAAAACGAGAAATTACTTTTATAGCCACAGGATAAATAACGCTGTCCACTTCGAAACTGCCCTTTTTAAATTGCATAACCGATGTATTGTTGATACATGTACCTTCCGGAAAGATGAGTATCGGTGGATTATTGGGATCTGATACATGCTTCTTTAATCTGCATCAAACATAATAACATATTAATAATTACGTTATACATATTGATATGAAATATGAACAACAAAATGTAAATGACTGTACCTTTTTGTAACCGCTTCTCTGTCTTTGACTTCAGAGCGTTCGAACCATATATGAGGAGAGGCACGGGCGAGGGCTCTTTGTAATATTCCTAAGAAACCACCGTGTCTCTGACCTATCTATAATAAGAAATGTAAATAAGGTGAGCAGAACTATATTTGAAAAATTATCATTGCATTTCAGAAGCTGTACACTGCTTTTGAATTACAGATATTGAAGTGAACATTAATAATGAAAATTATTTTAATTAATTAAAATCATTTAAAAATACAGAAAAATAAAATCTTATCTTTAACAATTATAAAGTGAAATTTAATATTTAATTTCATTTAAAATTTGATCTTTTGTACATCTAATATTACAACAAATGTTGATTTTTCATTTAATTTCCACTAAGAAAAATTGATTCCAACGATTTTATCAAGTGTACAATTTCTGAAACATTTTAACACTATACACAAAATAATAATATAAGTAATAAAATTGTAAAGGAACAAGTTACGCGAGCATATTTTCGCAGTTATGAAACAAAGATCGTTCTAAGAATGCTTATAAAAATATGACGATAAACAAAGAAAAAAAGATTGATCATATAAGCGTTAAAAAAACAAAGATAAATGATGTAAGATTTATAACCGAAGAATAATACATACCAATGAATAACAATTATCACACATAAGTACGAGTACATCAATGGGAGACGTGTGATTAGCAACACATATTCCTCTGACAGGTCGATTCTCTGGGTTGTTGTACGTGATGACTGAAGACAGAGCACTGGATAAGACAGCAAAGCACATTAGGGAGACTTTGTAGTTCAGCCACCGTTTGAAGCTACCCTCAGGAACATAGCCCACTACTGCAGTGCACATTGTCAGCCACATCACCTGTAAACCACAAGCTTTGCACCTGAGAAACGTGGATTCCTTTCTCTTTCTCTTTCTCTCTCTCTCTCTCTCTCTCTCTCTCTCTCTCTCTCTCTCTCTGCTATCTCTCTCTATCGTTGCTGAGTAGGTACTACCTGTAAACCAAAGTTACAGGACACGTTACCTGTAACATTTATCAGTAATGCGCAACAATATTTCTGTAATACTAATAATAAACTCGATTTTCAGTTGTTGCAAAAACAAATTGATTAAAATCATGTTGTTTTGTTATGCAATAATGCAATATAGGAATTATAAATATTATAGAATATTACAAGATTTCCCAAATATAATAAAATGATAAAATTGAAACAAACGCATTATAAATATGATAGACGAGAAGTATATTCGGCATAATAAAAATGTGAATACAATGTAACAAGTTGCTTAAACCTTCCGATGTGATGGGCATATGATTCGCCACGCACATTCCTCCGATTTTTTATTTGTACTATGAATTGTGGATTATAATCATATTCAAAATAGAACGTGACATTATTTTGAACGCAATAAGGGAGATCTGATTCAATAAGTACAACAAAAGAAGGCCTTAAGAGCCATACGCGAATGTTCTTAAATATATTCCACCAAAAATAAGTTTTTCGATGGAAATAAACAAATGTGCACAAAGCACTTACTATTCTTGGTGTACTACCAAGACTTGATAATTAGAAATAATCCCTTACTTGAGATTTAATTTCTTTAAAACCCCTCCAATAACCTGATTGTGCAATAAGGAAAATCTGATTGTTCACCCAATGTTTTACGCGGCCGTTCGGCAGAGAGCCGATTAAATGTTACCAGATATAGTACCTAAGAAGCTTTGATATTAGTATGTATAGTAGCTTTGAATTTGTGTTTAATAATACACATCTTAATAAATTCTACAGTGTCTTAAACTTAAAACGTGCATCTAAAAATGAGAAAACATTAATTATCTTGCATGTTTTTGCAAAAAATTACGAAAATTTTTATTTTTACTCTAAATTTTGTATTATAACTTACGTTGTTAAGATAAACAGAATTCTTATTTTTTAAAGCTACTTACTATATATTTATTATTATTATATTTAGTTATATAGCGCATAATATACAGAATAGTATTGCACTTACCCCTATAAAGCAAATAAATATCCTTAAGGGCAGAAGGAAGCAATAACGCATAACGAATCCGAACATCCACATGAAAGTTAACTTCCAGGAAATAAATTCATAATATCTATTCGTTCGCGTTAATAGATTCCAGTTCTACACAAAAATATATTGACAAATTATTCAAAGGCATATATAAATTGAATGTGTATTAATCTCTCGATTTAGCTATTATATAAAATATTAATTGATTTTTTTAAGCACAATCGAATAAAGGATTACCTTGAGTTCTTCTGCTTCAAATCGTGACGTCACATCATCTTCTATAATAGCTTCAACACCTGCTCTGATATAATCCAAACAGCTTGAAGGTGCAAATCCGGCTTTTAGTGTTTCAAAAGAATTTTTTTGATTAAGGTTGTCCTAAAACATACGTAAGAATAATTGATAAAATTTCCAATTTGCATAAGATTTCCCAAAAGTACACATAATTTGTTTTTTTTTACTCTATAAATTTACTTACCTCATTGATCGTTGATGGTTCTTGTTGATCGTTTTTCAAATTCGATTCATCAACGTGATTCTTGTGATTGTGCATTTCTGGTTCCGGGACCAAGATGAAGTTCTTCGATCTGGCTATCACCGTGTTGCCTGCACATCCGTTTTGTGCTTTTGTCGAAGTTATTGTTGAATTCTTTTCCATGATAGTCAGCGACTCGCATTCCTCTTCTATACTGAGATTCTCTACATCCCGAGTACCATTTCTTTTCCTTACACTTTCTATATTTTGTCTGCCGTACTGTGACACAAGAAATGCATGGTCGTAAAAATATGTATGTACTACGTCGATTATTTCTTGCATCATTAATGAGGTTTTTTTTAATGGACAATTATAGTTTAAAGGTCACAAAAAAGCATTTACATCATTGTTAGTCCTGATAAGTTCCCCTTATTTTTAGAAATTTTTAGCCTACGCGATGTATCGTTATTGTTACTCAAGAAACCGAGATCGATTTGATCGGTTAAAATTGATAGAATTGAAGTATCACAATTTAAAAACTAAGTAGATTGAAGAAAAAATTATAAATCAAAAAAATTCCTCTGAGTTTATATGCCTTTAAAAATATGAGATATTATTCATAATAATATGCATTTGATCTCATTATTGTATGTATCCGCAATTCAAGGAGGAATAAGCCAAGGAGAAGTCACTCTATGGAAACATTACGTAATATGAAAATACTTCGTTATTGCGAGAGATAGGGGAAAACAGATGCACGCGATGTTAATCTATACATGCGCTTCGGAATAGCATATGTTATCGAAGATACTTCATAATTACATATCATATATGTAGCTATCGAGACTTTGATCTTCGGTTCGCTCATTATAATGACAGATTGACTTCGTAATGAATGACGTTTTCTAGATATCCATTCCAAAAAAATAATTAAATGCGTGAACATCACGTGCCAATTGAATATTAATCATTTTGTTCTATAATATCTTGCAGATTATCATGATCGATTATCGTGCTATTTTTAATAATGTGACACAAATATTTTGATACTTCGTTAGAATAAGAATTTGATCAATTAACGGTCAATTATTTCGAAACTATACTAAATTATTTTCTATCAAACTAATTATTAGCAAATATTTATTGAATATTCATTAAACATTCGATAATTAAATGTTTTTTATGTCTTTTATTAGGAAAATATAATACTTGCTCGTGTATCAATATGAAGAAATTAAAAATTGTATTTTAGACTATTAACTACACAAAAAAGCTTTTATAAAGTAATATTTATAAAACCAAAAAAAATTAAATTATTACAATACAAAAAATAAATTTACTTTTCGTTATAAATCTCTAAAATTTACCACTAAATTTTGATTTCAAAGCCAAAAACGCATTGGCACGAATGACATGCAATTATTCAGCATGAGTGCACTATATTGAATATTTATATACATAGTAACTTTTGATACAAATAATACCGAGTCACTTTTGCTTGTTACGTTCACTGAACTCGCATTTGTTCAATGCATTTGTACCGGAGGTAATGATACGATCATTATTCCGCATCATATCGCCTCAATCCACAAATGGTTATATTAATGAAATATAACTTTTTAATTTAAAATGTAAGAGTAATTGATTTTAACTATATTTTTGTAATTTGATCAGCGAGTTCGCATTACATGCGAAAATTAAAAAAAAAAATATATCAAGCAATGCTTAATATTTTTCCATACAAATTGCTGTATAATGTAATCATTTATTGAAGTGACAGACTTGACAGTCATGCACCAGTGTTTTTCAACAAGAACTGATGCAATGATTATTACCATCGTAATACTAATAAGCTGTTAAATTAATGTAAAGTTATTTAATAATTCAGTCATTTCATTATTTAAAAAAACTTGTTAACATTTTAGTTCGAGTTAATTTTAAAAAATTTGAAGAATGAAGTAAAATGTGAGCTTTTCTAAGTAATAATAACGTTTTACAGTCAATATATTCTCTCACATTTTGTGGAAAAAATTTTTTTTTAAATTTTAAAATATAAAAATCGCAAAAAGGCAAGGAAAACAGATAAGAAGAGAAACGCTGTTTACTAAGAATGCCTGAATTTCCAAATGATTGTAGTTTAGTTTATCAATATTACGTAATGAGATATCTTTGAGAAGTGGTGTGATGTTTTACTTTTGTTACCAAAAAATTTGATATCGGAATTTCAGTTACATTAAAAATATCAGAGTGTACGTGATTGCAAATAACAAGCAACATTTACGTTTGACGCTAATTATATGAATCATTTTTGTATCATCGATATTTTTATGAGAAAAGATTAACTCCAAATTCCTCAGTATATTTGTCATTAATTGAAATAACGCGAAATATATATGCTTGTATTTATTATAAAACTTTCCGTAATATAATTTTATTATTAATGTGGCTCATTTAATATAAGCAATTTCTTTACATTAGTTAACATTAATTATCACATGTTGATTATTCATATTTCTGCTACCACATGTCGTATATATTTTGATTGATGTATACATATAATAGGTCAGTGTTATACATATGTAACATAATAATTGATATATATCGCATAAAAGATAAACATAATCAAATAAAAGTTTTATACAACGTTTTAAAAAACATTATAAAGGCTATACGTGATATTTACATCCAGTGCTTCTTTTACCATCTTTATTGATAATAACGTATATTTTATATAGCCTATATAGCTACTGCACAGATTGGATGTAAATAATTTGTAAAAGAAATAATGCGAGTTATTTAATCGCACGTTAATCGATATACTTCTCACATGTTTCAGCGCGCGAATCGCAGCTTCAATATTATATCTGATGATTGGCGGCACGTGATATCAACGTGTGAAAGAGCACCCAGATCACGCGGCAATATGTTTTCTCTCTGTCATACACACATGGGCTTTCTCTTGAGAGAAGTACACGAAGTCTCTCACTAGTAATCGAAAACGGAAATATACCGATGATTTGTAATTGTCGACGCTGCAGACGAGCATATTAGAATTTTTATTTGTATACATTTCTCAAAATTTTTGCTTTGTAACTTCAAGATGCAAATAAAAAAAATTATATTTCATGTAAAATACTGTGCATTTTAAACTATTAAAGTTCTAATCAATATTTTATAATTTTATTTTACAATAAAAAATTGATCGAAGACGACCTGTATACAAAAAAAATTTAAAGCATATTTTGAAAGTTTTCACTTTCATAGCAATTGAAATGTTCTTACTAGCATACATACTTAAGAGGCAAGAGGATTCGGAGAAAGTTTAATAAAAGATTCAAGAAAGCGACGACATATTTAAGAATGCATGCATGCTTAAAATAGCAATGTTAATTTGACATGAAATTTGAATGTGTGTTGTTTTTAGTAAATGTTTAACTTTAATTTAAGAAAAATATTTAAAAAATAATTTTGATTTGTGACTTTCTTTTTTTTTAGATTTTTATAAAATGTCAAAATATCAATATCTTTGAAAAATGTATTTCAAAATGCTTATTTAACCAATCGTTACGCACTTTTGATTTAAAAAATAATGACTTGTTCAGCAGATACATATATTATACATATAACATTGTTCAAACACGTGTCAAGGTTTCCTTGTTATAACAGATAACTCAAATTTAATTTAAATTTCAAATAATTCACGTACACAAAAATTCTAGAATATTTTCATAGTAACAAAAGACATTGAAAATATTATCGCAAAAGATATTTTATAGAAATGATAATTAATGCTTTTTTATATATATAAAATGACAAAATAATCAAAATTATAGAATAATTGTAATATAAATTATTGACTATTTAATATCGGTTCAGTTAATAAATCTGCGAAAATTAATTAATAAATGGTTTGATGATTAATTTCTCGAACAATTGATCAATTATACAATTAATAATCTATCATTCTGTTGAGCGAACTTTGAACTGATCATAATCATTTGATGAGTATATATTAGATATTGTTTTCTTATCGGCTCTTAATATATTTATAAAATTTCAACACTAAAAGGGTCAAAGATCTCACATACATATAATGTATAATATTAGAGATGTAAGATTTTTCTATTTTTTTTATTCAATTAATTTCTAAGTCCAATCAATTATGCCGTGATGGACTTTAATAATGTATCCTCTATCAATATTATTACAGCTACAATTAAAAGAAGAAAAATATATAATTATACAATTATTTGCATTGTTTGCATGCAAATAAAATTATTTTGTCATATTGTGTTTTTTATATAACACAATTTACATATTTTCACAATTCACTATTGTGATCAATTTTGTCAGAAATTTAAGATAATAAGTTATTAAATAAATAAATCTTACAAACATTAAAATACTTCATAAAGTAGACATAAACTATATATTAATGATAGAAAACGCGGAAGTTTAGGCGAATCTAAGTTACATCTTACACTTTATAAATCAAAACAGAACGATCATGTAAATGTAAATCCGTGCATAGATTTTGTAGACAAGAATAGTCTCTATTTTCGGTAACACTATGCATATGTTTATCTATTCAGAATCATAATCCCGAAATATAATCACGCTTCATATATTATTCATAAGAGATCAATAACTCATTTGAATTCTAATCTAATATAAGACTTTTGTGCATCCCAATAAAGAAACTTTTTTACAATTTTATACACTAAGAATGAGAGCTGACAATCTGAATATTTTAAATAATTCAGAGTAAAAATGTTATATCAATATCGGTTTAATTCTCACTCATTATAGAGATATATCGATCTCTACTAAATAAAAAAGCAAAAAACATGGAATGAGATAATAGAAAGATGATCTTATATTAAAGTTCTAATTCATTATTTTATTTTAATTAAAAATATTAAGATCATTTTGCAGTTATATACATATATATAGAGTTTTATATGTAAAGGAGCTTTAAGAGCTTCAAAAGTGAAAGCAAGAAAATCAATTCATCTCTATTCTTCAATTACGCTTAATTTTGGGGAACTAAGAACTTTACACTTGGCTGAATTCCGGTTATCATAAAATCAAACTGATAACACGATTGCGATAAACAAAGGTCATAAGGTACAGTAATTATATAAAAATAATACGTTGTTTGTGACGATGAACGTCTACACATAGCAAATTTGAGATGAAGATTGCATCGGTATTTTCCTCAAGAATACATAGTCTGATAACGAAAAGTTTACTAAATAAGGCTGAAAATAAACTGTATC